GGACGTGGCCTCGCCAGTGACCCCAATGCCCGTCGTCTCAGTAATCCCCGTGGATAAAAGCGTAGGCCAATGGCCAAACACTTTCTGATTTTGTGAAAAGTACCTGGAAAAATCTATCAAATGTAGGCTTTAACTAGTGACTTCAATGGAAAAACAATGATGGCCACAATCAGCCAGCCAGTCCAGAAAACAACACAATGTCCGAACAATTATGTTTTAGCTGATGACACAGTCTAGATAACAACAGATGGATGCGAACTACAGGAAATGACGTAAGAGCTTAATAGAGATGGTGCAAAGTCGGGCTCGTGAGATAAACAAAGGTCATGCACAACGAGTCCACGAAACAATGGGAGACGTGTCAGAGGGACACAACAATAACACACAGTGGAGTGTGTGTACCTCGGAGTGTGTGTACCTTGGAATGGAGTGTACGTCGGAGTGAGTGTGCCTCGGAGTGTGTGTAGCTCTGAGTGGAGTGTACCTCGGAGTGTAGTGTACCTCGGAGTGTAGTGTACCTCGGAGTGTGTGTACCTCGGAGTGGAGTGTACCTCGGAGTGGAGTGTACTTCGGAGTGGAGTGTACCTCTGAGTGTGTGTATCTCGGAGTGGAATGTACCTCGGAGTGTGTGTACCTCGGAGTGTGTGTACCTCGGAGTGTGTGTACCTCGGAGTGTGTGCACCTCAGAGTGGAGTGTACCTCGGAGTGTGTGTACCTCGGAGTGTGTGTACCTCGGAGTGGAGTGTACCTCGGGGTGGAGTGTACCTCGGAGTGTGTGTACCTCGGAGTGTGTGTACCTCGGAGTGTGTGTACCTCGGAGTGGAGTGTACCTCGGAGTGTGTGTACCTCGGAGTGGAGTGTACCTCGGAGTGTGTGTACCTCGGAGTGTGTGTACCTCGGAGTGTGTGTACCTCGGAGTGGAGTGTACCTCGGAGTGGAGTATACCTCGGAGTGTGTGTACCTCGGAGTGTGTGTACCTCGGAGTGTGTGTACCTCAGAGTGGAGTGTACCTCGGAGTGTGTGTACCTCGGAGTGGAGTGTACCTCGGAGTGGAGTATACCTCGGAGTGGAGTATATCTCGGAGTGTGTGTACCTCGGAGTGTAGTGTACCTCGGAGTGTGTGTACCTCGGAGTGTAGTGTACCTTGGAGTGGAGTGTACCTCGGAGTGTGTGTACCTCGGAGTGAAGTGTACCTCGGAGTGAAGTGTACCTCGGAGTGGAGTGTACCTCAGAGTGCGTACCTCGGAGTGTGTGTACCTCGGAGTGGAGTGTACCTCGGAGTGGAGTGTACCTCGGAGTGGAGTGTACCTCGGAGTGTGTGTACCTCGGAGTGTAGTGTACCTCGGAGTGTGTGTACCTCGGAGTGTAGTGTACCTTGGAGTGGAGTGTACCTCGGAGTGGAGTGTACCTCAAAGTGGAGTGTACCTCAGAGTGGAGTGTACCTCGGGGTGTAGTGTACCTCGGAGTGTGTGTACCTTGGAGTGTGTGTACCTCGGAGTGTGTGTACCTGGGAGTGGAGTGTACCTCGGAGTGTGTGTACCTCGGAGTGGAGTGTACCTCGGAGTGTGTGTACCTCGGAGTGTGTGTACCTCGGAGTGTAGTGTACCTCGGAGTGTGTGTACCTCGGAGTGGAGTGTACCTCGGAGTGTGTGTACCTCGGAGTGGAGTGTACCACGGAGTGGAGTGTACCTCGGAGTGTGTGTACCTCGGAGTGGAGTATACCTCGGAGTGTGTGTACCTCGGAGTGTGTGTACCTGGGAGTGGAGTGTACCTCGGAGTGGAGTATACCTCGGAGTGTGTGTACCTCGGAGTGTGTGTACCTGGGAGTGGAGTGTACCTCGGAGTGGAGTATACCTCGGAGTGTGTGTACCTCGGAGTGTAGTGTACCTCGGAGTGTGTGTACCTCGGAGCGTAGTGTACCTCGGAGTGGAGTGTACCTTTGAGTGGAGTGTACCTCGGAGTGGAGTGTACCTCGGAGTGTGTGTACCTCGGAGTGTGTGTACCTCGGAGTGGAGTGTACCTTGGGCAATTATCAACGGGGTACCGGGATACAAATAATTAAATACATAGGTGAGTGACAGCAGGTTGGGGTGTCTGGAAAACCAACAATAAAACACAAGAGAGAAACACACGGATTAGGGAACACATAATCAGGTTGATGGTAGGTATATCTACTGTATATCTACTGTATACATCAACATACAGATTCGGGCCCACACGGTCACGTCAAAGATTGGGAGTAGATCAGGGCAGGACCCGCCCCCCCCCCAAGCAGAGACGACAGCCAGTGCTCGAGACTTTCGATGAAGTGGCAGACAGACGAGAGGTGGCACGACGAGGTTGTCTGCTGTGTCGGAGGTGCAAGGATTCTTAATGGCTTGGGAAAGCCTTTATTCATCAGGGGAAATATCTCGTGGCTGATGGTGATGATGATGGTACAACGCTTAAAGAACCCTACAAAAAACGTTTACTTGGAGAAAAACCCTAAAGCCATTAATGGTAACTTCCGTGCAATATCTGAGCTTAGCTTTAAAAATGCTTTGATCTGATTGTACAGCTTGACCCATTTATAGATACCCTAATGATTTATCGTAAGCCTTTTACTTTCTTCTCAACAGTTGATTGGATATTGTGGAAGCCATGGCTATGATTGTATGCCAGGAGAGGGCTGAACTCGTTACTAGCCGTATCGAGGTCGTCGGGAGACGTTGGTGGGGGTTTTCATTCAAACTACGTTTTCTGCTCTCCGATTTCTCCCTCCGATTTCCGTGGAGCGTCTCTCGAAAGGGTCATCCCAGACTGGAGACTGGCGGCTCGAGGACGCGGCAACGCACGTTCTTCGCATCTGGGCGCCAGAGGGCGGACCGGGACGCCCCAGCACGGCCGGGCCTCAAGTCGCTCGGCGTGCGAGCGCCTTCCTCGTGGGCAACGTACGATCGTGGCTGACGACGACGACTATTATTAAATTCAAATCAAACAGGTACATTGCCAAAATAGTACGAAGATCGATTTGGATCGGATCGATGGGGGCGGGGGGGGTGAGTAATCGGGGTTGAGTTGGCGCGAGGTCGCTGTCCACAACCCAGAGGCGCTTTGTCAATGGGCGACAGCCTCCTCAGACTTTGAAAATAAAATAACATCGACCGGTTTTTAGGACTTTTAAGCCCATTTCCTCAGACACGTGTTTGAGGCTCGCTGCCCCGGCTTATGCACAGCTTCATGTGTGAGATTATTCATTAGATTTTGGTAAATGTTTTTTTTTCTCCCAAATACTTAAAAGACAAAAAGAGATCCCTCGATTTAGTGCAAAGAGAATGGTGCCGAAGCCTCCGCTGCAAAGAAGTGTATGTAGCAGCGATTTAATTATGTGTACTACGTTGTTTTAACTACACCTTGCTGATAAGACGTGAGATAAGTGGGTACTGGTGTGATTGGGTCTTGTTCCATACAGAAATGCTACTGGGAGGCATTACATATGGAGGCACCAACGGCCAATAGATCAGGTTTCATGAACGTTATTAAATTATGGTGACCGATGGACGAGACTGGTGACGGAATGGCAGCCAAAGGAGTGAACGCGCCCAAGAGCACGACCACCACGGAGGCGAAGCGACGAATCGGTTCGCGTGCAAGAGTGAGATGGACTGTAGCAGCAGCACTGCACCATCGGGGGTGGCGATGGCCCAGGAAGGCCTCCATCTAGCAGTGGATAGACAATAGATGACAACGACGATGACCGTATTCAACGACAGACTAAGCGCGCTATCCTTGAAATCCGCACTCGAGATTGAAAAATTATCTTATGCGGAAGAGCTGCAATTTGAGGTGCGACAACATCCGGACGCAGAAGCGCATCCGACTCGAGGGTTCGTCGCATGCGCCGAGAGCTCCGCACTGTTGGAGCGCAGCCCTGCCGATGCGTTTAACCTTTTTAGAAGAATCACAAATCCGCAGAGACGGCGCTCGAGCGAGGGGAAGGGCCGCGCGGCACCGCGCCCGGCGCCGGCGCTCCGGGAGGCTCGGGCGGACCACGCTCGTTGTCTCCGCCGCAGCCAGGGACCGGTTTAATGCGGCGATGTCAGCCACGAACATCTGGTGTCGGCTCATGGACGCGAGCCATGCGGAGTCCCCCCACCCCCTACCCCCCCCCCCCCTCGGCCGCGTCTGCTGCCAGCGGATCACCCTGCGACAGCCGCCCCCGCTGCGTAATCCTGGCTCGGTGCGACACACGAGCCACGATCCACGGCGCTCTTGTTTTTGTTTTTTTTGCGATCCTCGCTCCTTGCTCTCCGGCGTGTTTAAGGGTTGTGCCACTCGTTGTTTGGTACGATGTCCGACGTTCCGCATCAAAGAGATACGTAGCAACACAGTCATATTGATCTTTGCTGCTCTATCGCTACTTGTGAGAACATAAATCGACCGCACTGTGTGCGTGTGGGATGACCAGCGGTACACAAACACCTATGCACCCACAAACGCACAGACAAAATGCCGTTAATGACCACCGATTTGCGCTGTATGCAAAGGCTGTCACAGCACAGGAAGAGTGAGTGTCCAGCACCATATGTAGCCGCCTTTGTCTTCCCACTGCTGAGGTACTTATTTAAGGCTCAGTAGACCTAGGGAAAGCACCAGGAACAGTTCGCATATTTGTCATCCTTGGCTGCGAGTGGGAATCTAACTCGGATCACTGTGTTACACTCACATATGCTCTCATAACAAATACAAAGGCACAAACACTGGTACCTGCGCCGCATGTTAATGGGCGTTTTATTATACGTAAGCAGATGCTTGCAGGTCCTGTGCTCTGGGGCGAGACTGCAAGCACGGGTTGTTTGTGCAGCAAGGCAGCGGTTGGTTTACGATGCTTCCAGGAATACTGGCACACGCACTCTGTTTGTACGGCAGAGACAAAGGGACACGCGCACACACAGGGACACGGAGCCATGGACACACCGGGCAGGTGCGTGACCTCAGACGACCCGGCACGCCAGAGTTACCTGCAGCCAGATCTGCTCGGGCTCCTCCATCTTGCCTGCGAGGGAGCACTGCACGCTGGCGTTCTGTCCGGCGTTCACCTCCACGATGCTCATGAGCGGCAGGAAGTGCGGGACCTCGTCTGGGGTAAGGGTGACAATCAATCCGCCGTCTCGTGTCATTCTATGGGGTCGCGCCGACGAAGCACGTTCAGCGAGCGCTCGACACACGGAGGCCGCCCATCTCAGCCACGCATCGGTTCCGGCCTGCTTTGCTCGCGGGATCTGACGAGATTAGATGATTCCGGGCGATTTTTTTTCAAGCACGAATGGCCCAAAATGCCAAGTGGCCAGCAACAAACAGCATGGTTGAAGGTGTAAGCGATGAGATGAAACAGTCAGTGTCTGGTCAACCAAGTCCTCAGCGTGAGCAAAGCGATCACACATTGCACAAAGAGCACATTTTATGCCGAGTTAACCGAGAAGAGGTCCAGGACAAATTAGCATTATGGAATCGTAGCATCACGTGCAAAAAACATCAACAACAAAAATGTTAATGTAAAAACGACACACACGCATGCACAACCATGAAGACACATATCAAGGTCAATTTGTCATCATGGCCAATTTGTCATCATAGCCGATAGTGGTGATGGAACCGACCCTCTTCATTGCCATCCTCCTACCTGCGTAGATGCCTCATCTGCTGCTCAATCGACACCTGACCTCCAAGGTCTGCTCTTACAGACAGGCAGGAACAATTGACCGATTTCTATTTGACAGCCGCGTCTCCTCAAAATACACAACAAAGAAGGACGAGTGTCAGCCGAGAGGCGTTAATAATGGGGGGGCCTGAAGAAAATAACGACAATTCTCTCTCCAGATCAAAACTGCCAAGCCAAGAGCAACACAATGGCATGGAGGAGCCGGTCGCTTGGCGAGAGGGGAATGAGAGGAGGCGCCTCTGGTCGGCTCATGAATCGAGGCTAACGGGAGCAGCGATGCTTGACATTACAAATGAAAGCACGCAAGTTGAGACTCGTGGACAAGGAGACGTGAAGCGATCAGGATGGAAAAAAACGCGGAGAAAGCAGAAGAGCCAACGGTAGGGAGCAGCGGAGACGGGAAGCATTGGCCTCATTTCCCACAGAGCGAGCAGGCGCAGAGACCCAATTTGCACGGAGCCTCGCTACAGAACACCACCGCTGGCTGCCATCTCCGTGTTCCACAAATAAAACATCACGCTGGCCGGCCACCGGCGAACACGGCCGCATCAGTAATTAATGTTTTTTTTTTATCAGCGAGCTCCCTAAGAAGTCTTCCCCGGGGCTGCGGCCGCTTCTGGCTGCAAGTCGCGGCAACTTTGGCAACGCGATTCAAGCGGCGGCGTTCAGCCGCACCTCCCTGCCCGACGGGACCGGAGCACGCTCCGTTTTTGATCTACATTAATGCCACGCATAATGGAGCTGCCTGCCAGTGATGTAGAATAAGGTTAGCTTGATCTTTAAAAAAGAGAAAAATGTCTTTCAACGTTTCCCCCCCTCTTCCCCCCTCACTCTCCGCTTTTACGGAAACTCTCGCACCAACTCCGAGTGCGCCAACTTGAGCGTGCGCGGCGGCGACCGAGCGCGGGCACCGAGTTCCGGGTGCCGGCGCTTCAGGAGGAGACCCATCTCGTGTCGGATCGGTACAATAAACCGGCGCGGCGAGATATCACCACGAGGCTGCTCCTATCTGGCCCGGGCTGCCGGCCCTGCTCCCACATCGGAGTTAATTGCATGCGCTCCCGCCCTAAATTCTGCCGAGTCCGAGCAGCGCAGACTAATTTCCAGCTGCCGCTGTTATTCCGACACCTTTTATGCTGCCTTTATTCATCACGGCTGTCTAGTTGGGAGGAGAGGCGCTGCGATTACGAACACTTTTGCCCGTAATCATATCGCTTGTCTGAGCAGGCCCCGCACGCCATACATTTTGCTTAAACATAAAGAGCAATTAAACGCAGCCATTTATATAGCGCATCGCTTTAATAGCACGAGCGAACACACTTTTAAACGAAAAACACGTATAATTTATATAGCATCAGCTGCTTCAAACAAACAATAAACGCAGCGCTAATAGGTAAATCTGTTGGGTCTAATCAACTTAATTACTACATTTGCATTTCAGAAGGTTGTGAATGGGTACTCGGAGAATATTAATAATTGAAGTGTAGCCTCGACAAAATCTTATTAGTTACTGTTCAGCGGTCGCCAATTACGTGCATTCAACATTAAGGGGCATGCGCAGCGTGCACACAAAGCAGCTGATATCAGTCAAGCGCCCATCAATCCAATGTGTGCCAGGCAAGAGTGGTGCGTGGGAGGTAAAATAACATGGCACCGATATTATGTTTCACAACGGAATGGCATATGGCAAATGTAATTGGCGGTTGGGTTATTTAATTAAAAATTTCTAGGCTACGTCTGTTGGGTAGGGGAGCAGCGGTGCAGCGGTTAGCACAATGCGCTTAGATTCGTGCTCGCCCATGGCTAACATCAGCAGCGAGAGAGTGGTATCTGAACAGTTCAGATGAGAGGAACGATCAAGAATGGAAAAGTAATCATCTTCATCGTCATCATCCCATAATCATCAACCCATCATCCCAAAATCATAACCGTCATGATGATGACAAATACCCCAATCTATGACTCCAATGCATCTTACATTTTAAACGAATCTCTGTGCTCGCCGCCGATGAGAGCGCTATAATCTAATGATGCAAAAAAAATTAAAGCATAAAATGAATCCCCGTGTAATAAAACGTCATGCTGGAGAGACAGCACGTGTGAAAATTAATCTCGAGTTTTGTCTGGAAGAGAACCCTCGTCACCACGACCGCTGTATAGCGGCACACACGCCTCACTGGGTTTAAACTCCGGCTTGCGAGGCAATGGTGACCTTGCTTCTTAAAACCTTTCGGACGAGCGTGGCCGAGGTGGCGAAATCTTCCTCGGAGACAGAATCTCCCACCGGTGTAAGTTACACCATCACTTCAAATCAGCGGTCTTCAACCTGTGTGTTGCTCCCCTATTGAGGGGGGTTTACATGACTCACGGGGGGGGGGGGCGGGCGTAGGCTGTAGCATGGATACCGTGCGGGGAGAAATCTATAATTTGAATGGGAAACGTTATCATTACGTTGACGTGACGACACATACTAGAACACAACATGAACCGGATGCCTTACGAGTGCCGCGTTAACTAGAGGTGTGGACACGTGACCTTCTTAGTTGTGTTCTTGGAGCTGTGGAGGGGAGCACGGAGCCCAGTGGCCTTGATTGGGGGGGCCGCCCTTCCACGCGGGGAGAGGAGCACTGCTCAGTGTACAGAACACGGAATCCCGGGGAGCGTGAGCGGAGTGATGCAGGAACTTACTGCACGAGTACTCGTGAATGTGGACCTCTCCGATGGCCACGTACGACGCCTTCTGTTCGGAGATCTCCGCCTCAAACACGACCTTCACACCACAACGCAGGAGCACGTGGCCCCGTGCACGCATGCAATCACACGCATGAGGACACATGTGCATGCACACACGTGTACACGTGAATGCACGTACGTGCACACACGCACAAGCGTGGGCACACACGAGCACCGTGCACATACGCATATCCGTACACACACACGTAAAGTGCTCGCACACATGCTCACACATTAATTCACACAAAACACACACTCACGTACACGACCACGCATACATACAAACAGACACACGCACACACATACACATACGCCAGGTTATTGCTCCTACATTTCATTACACATCGCGCCGCGGATCAACCCCACAATGGGCGGAACAGAATCAATATGAGGCAACGCGAGCGCGCAATAAGCTACGGTAATCTGCGAGAGATAGAGGCAAAAAAAAAGTTTAAAAGAAAATCCGGGAACATTGACGCTGAACCACGCAGCGACAATGGCCGAGATGCACGGTCATCGATTGGCGCAGCGCAAATACACATGACTGCATCGCTAATTATCCACGTGCCATCGCCGCGGAGGTGGAGGAAGAGAGGTCGCTCATAGCCACTGGCTTTATCTTAAAAAAGACCTGTCATCATCGCTTGCTCATCAGCAGCAGTGCGACTTCAAGATCGTGCGACACGAGACCCAGTCACTGCGCGCATACAATTCACTCAGACGTACTGCACGTGCGTGCATGTGTAGTGACGTTAATGGAGACGTTATGGCGTTAGTGCCAGCGACTGTCACAAGAGTGTAACAGTGCGTCTCGAGCCTCTCTCTGGCACCAGAGTAGCTATGGCATGGAAGCGTGCCCCAGAGGGCATGGTTCGGAGGACGTGACAGTCTGGGTGACCCCGAGAGGACACGTGACCGGCAGAGGGTAGCGAGGGGGCCCAAAGGGAGGCTTGAGGGACACGTGATGCTCGGTCGAGAACCTTCTGGTGAGATCCAGAAGGGGGCGTGGCCGAGGGCAGAGCGAGGCCACGCTCGGGAACATAAAGCAGAAGTCCCCAGAGCAATCGCTGCTGTCTTCTGGGAAATAATCCGCCATGCTACATCTCCTCGATCTTCGGTCGTCACGTTCGGCATCATGGGTCAGGCAGAATGTTACTGACCTGACCCGGTTATGTAGTTACCCTGTTGAAGTCTAGTTCACTTGTTATACGTTATGTAGTTACCCTGTTGGGGGTCTAGTTCACTGTTATAAGTTATGTAGTTACTCTGTTGGGGGTCTAGTTCACTGTTATACGTTATGTAGTTACCCTGTTGGGGGTCTACCCTGTTGGGGGTCTAGTTCACTTGTTATACGTTATGTAGTTACCCTGTTGGGGGTATAGTTCACTGTTATACGTTATGTAGTTACCCTGTTGGGGGTCTACCCTGTTGGGGGTCTAGTTCACTGTTTTTGTACGTTATGTAGTTACCCTGTTGGGGGTCTAGTTAACTGTTTTTGTACGTTATGTGGTTACCCTATTGGGGGTCTAGTTCACTGTTGTACGTTATGTAGTTACCCTGTAGGGGTCTAGTTCACTGTTTTTGTACGTGATGCATAGTTACCCTGTAGGGGTCTAGTTCACTGTTGTACGTTATGTAGTTACCCTGTAGGGGTCTAGTTCACTGTTATACGTTATGTAGTTACCCTGTTGGGAGTCTAGTTAACTGTTATACGTTATGTAGTTACCCTGTTGGGGGTCTAGTTCACTGTTGTCATACGTTATGTAGTTACCCTGTTGGGGGTCTAGTTAACTGTTGTACGTTATGTAGTTACCCTGTTGGGGGTCTAGTTCACTGTTTTTGTACGTTATGTAGTTACCCTGTTGGGAGTCTAGTTAACTGTTATACGTTATGTAGTTACCCTGTTGGGGGTCTAGTTCACTGTTTTTGTACGTTATGTAGTTACCCTATTGGGGTCTAGAGTGTACACGTTATGTAGTTACCCTATTGGGGGTCTAGTTCACTGTTTTTGTACGTTACGTAGTTACCCTGTTGGGGTTGTAGAATAAACGAGTTTCCAGCAAGTTCAAGTGTGTGTCTCCGTGAAATACACTACACATGTGTATGCGTGTATGTATTACTGGGGCTGCCATGCCTTAAATATTGGAGAAAATAGCCGCAACAAACATAGATTACTTCTTAAGTGAACTGCTGGGGGAGGGTGGTGTTTGTGGGTAGAATGCCCTTTGTGACATCATTACATCCGTCTGGTCCACAGGATGGATTCTGCAGGATTTGAAGGAAGTCCTGGTCATTCACATTTTTTAAAACTCCCAGGGCATATTTCTCCTCAGTGTAAGGCCGGGAAAGGTCCTGACAAGGATTATTCAACATCGCCTTGCTAGAAATGTTGATGAGAGGCTCGCGGAGCCCCAGGGTTGTTTCAGATTGGGGTGGTCATATTTTCCTCATATTTTCTCTGTCCATCTGGTGCAGAAGAGGTGTTTGAAATTTAAACAGGACCTACATCTCTGCTTTATTGACCTGGTCAAGGCCTATGATACCATCAACAAGCCATGGCTCTGGGTTATTCTTCATGCCTTTAGGGTCCCTGACCCTCTGCTCACAATCATTGACCGTCAGATAGGGATGTCCTCTGACCCCTACACTTTTTAACATCTTCTTTGATCACGTAGTTAGAAATTCTTGCATGGCAGTACCGGCGGAATTTCCATCTGATACAGATACAAAGGGAACACGTTTGACTTGGACGTCAACTCAGAATGTGGAGCGATGAAATCAGGTCATGTACAGGTGCTAGGTAGATTATTTAATAGCAAGATAGTGAGAGGTGGTGATGGCTTGGAGGGCAGGGCTTCATCCAGCAGTGGATTGAACATGGCTAATGATGATAATGTCATCTTATTTTCCCTCATGTCAACTCGGGAATGATGATGGGGCCAAATTAGCGCCTGCTTCTTTGTCTCTCCTTTGACAGTTTTCCTGCTTCGTCACACTTGCCCCCTATTGTTCAAAGTCATTCTCTCTCGCATCAATCCCGACTCATTCTCCCTCTTGTCCCTTGCACTTGAGTGCGATTGTGCCAATGCGCAAATGGACAGTGAGCGGGTTCTCATCTCTGTCGGTAGTCTTGAACTAGCGGTGAATAATTACGTTCCTACGATGGGAAGCAATCTCCATACAGGTCACCGTTGACATGTGACCAACTGACGCATCCTGCCCAGGTTGCTTCTTCATTTACTGACCCCAGAGGGATAACAATAGTGATTACAATGAGGATGATTACGATGATGATGATTATGAAAGGCTGAGTCAGCCGAAACTCATGTTTTAACTCGTGACCCCAGACACAAGAGCTCTGCTCCTTTATGCAGAGCGTTACATCTAATCCCCAGAAAACTTCATTGGCGACCGGGCCAGCCACGATTGTGGTGGTTTAGACTAAGATGTGAACTGTGCTAATGACGTTCGGCTCCGGTAAGGGTGGGAAACAACCATGCAAAGTTCTCATGTAACTCTCTCCTACCGCTCCACACCCCCACTACACCCCCCAAAAAACAGCTCATGTCAAAATAAAGCAGTGATTGAAAGCACGTGCTCTAGAGGGCAGCGGCAGGGGAGCCGGCTTTGGAATTTTTCGGCAAACGAACAGCGGCGAGCCAGCGACGTGGGTGAGCGGAAAATGAACACCGGCCCCCGCGGCATGGCGAGGAGCTGTCCGTGGTGCTCGCGGATTAGTAGGGACGCGCACAGCCGGCCAGCGCGACAGAAACGGCCGCAATGCCTCAGACACACGGACGCACACACGCACAGACGGACGAAAAAACGAGGACGTTCCAAACGCTGGATTTCCCGCGCGAGAGCAGCGAGACAATAATGAGCGGTGTGGCCGCGCGGCGGCCCCCAACCCCAGCGGACGTGGACGCGGCTTCTCCCTCCCCCTTACGTATTCGTGCATCAGCCGCGCCGGTCGTTGGAGTGGGGGGTGGGGCGGGGAAGGGGCGAGAGAAGAGGGGGCAGCAAGTCGTATCTGCAGGCAACAGCTGTCTATTGTTGGGGCTAATCCCGCCGTGGTTGTGTGACGAGGGATCAGCGCCGCTTGCATGAGGCTCATCAGTGTGGCGCGGTTCCCGGCGGTGGCGGCCGCCTGTGGAGAGCTTGGCTGTGGGGCTGTGGGACTGTGGGGCGGGGGTTTGTCCCTTTATATGCTGCTTAGTGTCCTGCAATATTTTATGGCTCTGCACAAAACATTTTTTTCTTCAAGGACAAATTAAGCCTCCATTTTCCCCTTCTATTTCATCATCATTCCCAAACTCTCTCTGCTTCGTTGTTATTACGGCGAGGTTTTTAGCCATTATTGGGAAGAAAATTTTGTTTTATTTATTCTATTGAATTCAGAGATTTTATTTTAAGGTTCACTTTGTTGTCACAGCGCAGTCACTTATTTTGATTGCGCACGAAACAAAAAAAACAACAACCCTGCCATCAGTGAAATTGTAATTTTTTTCTTTGATTTGAACAGAGCCGGTTCGGAGGGCACGAAAGGGCATCGAGCAACAGACCCAGAAGTGGTGCCGACGCTGAAAATAACCGCGGAGCTTCGTTCACCCCGCCACGCTCTCACGCCTCGTTCCCAGCGACCCGCATCGCCCCCCTGCACAGCTCTCATTTCACATCCGATCCATCTGAAAGCAGCGCCCACAGTTATTGCTTACGAAGTCACATTTTTGAAAATTAATATACCGAACCATTTGCTTAATTAACTTCAAAAATTGTGCTGATGGAGGTGGCTTGAGACTCATAATGGAGACTCATAATGGCCATGTGAATGCGATGGGTCAGTAATCCAAACAAAATAGCTTCTCACGCATGATGAGTTAAAGGTCTCTACGGTTGTCATATCTCGGCAAAAATGGATCTGCTATAATCACCTTTCACTTAATTTGGCCCGACTCGGCTTGGAGTGCTGACATTCCTCAGTACGTATCGGATGAGTGGCGTGTGTGGTGAACCGCCCTCGCACAGCGCGACACTGTGAGGCATTGCGCGCAGGATACAAAATTCCCAGACACATCGTCACATCACTATCACCTGAGCGGCTCCTGCAAGGGGACATTGGCTTAATGTTGAGACACAGCTTCAGTCTTCCGTGACAGACTCGTGGTCTCAATTGAGCCTTCACTTCAGAAATCATCCATGTAATGTCACCTTAAACACGTAGGCTTTCGTGATCAACATTATCCGTAATGTTTGTTTTTTTGGGTTAGATCATGTCAATATAAACGTGCTGTTAACCCGCCACCACCCGACAGCCAATTAGAAAGGTTTGTCACGTAAACAAAACGTGGCAATTAGTTACTACTTTAGCACACCGGTGTGTTGGAGAGTAAACTCACGACATTTGGTAGCTTACAAGCAGCTCCTTCAGGCAATTTGCCAGAGTTGTGAAGAAGTCTTCCTGTTTTCGGTCTTAAAAAGTACCCTAAATTATTTAGATCCTGAAAGTACCCTACATTTTATCGTCATATAACACATCCGTAAAATTGTGTCAAACACGTAAAATTCTCCGTACCCATAAACTTTCCAGGTCCTTCTCAACTTTGTGTCCCGGACGGTCATCCCCAACTGCCCACCCCGACATGGTCCAGCCGATAACAGTAATCACAGATCACAGCAATCAGCGATCACAGCAATCACCTATCATACCGGCCTGTCAGCCGACCAACCGAGAGGGGCCACGTGAGCGCCTGCGTGACCTGGCACAAGCGCCGCAGTGCTGTTTCCGCAGCTTGGGGGGGGCGAGCGGTGGCGGCGGTCGCCGTATTGTTGTGGCGGCTTGGGCCTACCTGGTAGGTGTTTGGCCAGAAGACGCTGACGGCGAGTTCTGTGCGCACCCAGCGGTTGGCCGCCGCGGTGGCCCGGGCGGCACTCCACACGGGGTGGCCCAAGCCTTCATTGTTGACGCGCACGTACGCGCTCAGCTGGGGCGGCTCGCCTGGCTCACCGGCTGCTCCGTCCCCGTCGTCTTTACTCGATGACGGCGACGAAGCGGAGTCCCCACCTCTTCTGTCACCGCCGCCCATACGGAAGCTGAACGTGATGCAGTGCGTGTCGTTCTCCATGAGCGGCGGCAGTGCCAGGCGTGCACGGCTCCCGGGGGCGTGGCCGGACGAGTCGACGAGCATGAGGTATGAACCTGTGTGCACGGACGTACACACGCACGCACGCACAGAGATTCTTTAGTATAGACACACAGGCTGCTGGTGGGTCAAGTGCTGTTAGTGAGCATCTTCGAAGGTCGGCGTGGCGCATGAGAGTGGGTGGCTAGCACCACCATACTCACCCACCTCTTTCTCCCCAATGTTGATGTGTTCACACTGCTCCCCAAGTACCCAGACCAGAGTCAATCCAAGGAATGGGCCATGACCAGTTACGATATTCGCCACCGATGTTGGCCGTAAGCAGGCATCGAACCGGGGCCGCCAGGTTTGTACCGCAGTGCAAAAACCACGACACTACGGCTCTCCACCCAGACCCACACGCACTCCTCATGCACAGGACCGGACGCCACGTAGAGACGATGTCGGAAGGTCATGCATGGTACCAGCCGTATCAAAACCGGCTTTAAACGGCTCATAGTGTCAAATCCCTCGAGTCCCCTACCCAGTTGTGGGCTTTTGGCTCAAGTGGCCTCCATCCTGTCCGCTCTCGAGCTCTCTCCTTCTGCTTCCCCATTTCACCGCGTGCCCACCTCAAGCAGCATCGTCCGTTTCCTGCCTCCTGGCCCATTTCCCGTCTCTCGCTCTTCCAGAACGTCCTTCATTGAGCTCATGCCTCCAAGGATCTGTCCGATCCACATCTATTGCTTTTATCTTGAGATTGTTCTCATGAGACGATTTGACTTCTGCTAAATTAGTACGTGCAATGTTGCCGCCAGCAGAGCACACAGCAGGCTGGCACGCTCAGGGCGCGAGTTCACGATTGTGTCAGCCGCTCACGTGCTTTGCCACCATACGCTCTCTCGCTGAGCCCAGATCAAAGAGGTTTTTACCATTTAGGCTGTGATGGTCGCGAGCAGGAATCGAACCCAGGTCATCCCAGAAAAGGATGTTTAAGGCGGCTAAGGGTGCTACGCTGAGCCCCGTTGGGTTGAGCCCACCCGCTGGCTATGGGTGTTGGTCGAAGCTGCTCGGCCACGAATCTCACACCGGTTGACGGCACGGGATGGTCCCCCCTCCCCACAAGCCGGCACTCGCCGTACTGCGGCGACGCCGATCAGGGACGCTGAGCGGAGCAGGGCTAGAGGGAGCGGTGATAGCGCACGGAGAAGTCGTGATCTTACGTCGCGCTGCGAGGTCGCACGCTCGCACAAAATCTCAAGCGTGCGCTCTCAGGGACGGTGTGCCGGCAGTTCAATCGGCGAGAAATACTCGCATTAAGTGCTTATTTAACGCGGGCACGTAAATCTTTTTTTAACCGGTTATGCTGCAACTTTAATTTAGGTGCAATGATGTTTTAAATCCTGCGGGATTCACCTTCCAAATTTCCTCTGCAAATTAGTTATGCCACACAGTTCATTTTGTGGAAGGCTGAAAGGACAATGTTCATATTGCACCTAAATTACATCGCTGATCTCTTTTGTGAAAGTTTGCAGGAGAGGGAAGGCAGAACGTGGCGACCTCCACGAGCAGCACAGAGGTAGGCGGCATTTGACATAGCAACCGGAGACAACACCCGCCTCTCGCTACTACCAGGCCATTGCGCTTTACATTCCCCCCATCCATGCAGAGCTACTCGCATTGCGCCGCACCTAATTGTGCCACAGATGAGGCGGCGCTTCTCCGGCCGCGAGTGTGAATAACTTCGCAGTGTTTGATTTTGCAAGAGTGGGACGCATGACAAAAACTATAAAAGAAACCCCACGGTCTGACGTTTGGCATTACTTGGAACGGCCTTCTTAAACAAAATCAATTGTCATTTTCTTGTAAGCACCAGATTACGCCAGGTAAACCCATTAACTGGCTCTCGTGGTTGGGATTAACCGGTGTAAGTGTCCTGCGCAAAGAAGCCGGCTTGGACAGCAGTGGATTAAACGCCGAGCCGACAGAACCCGGCCGGCCGTCTGGCCAGCGGCAAGCCCCCCCCCCCCCCCCCCCCCGGCACGTGCCGTGCTCGGCACACTGTAATTAAAAACGGTAAATTACCAGCGCTAAGAACAGTGTCAAAATGGTACGACACTGCAATTACGCCACATTTCATATTCTCAGCGATGTCTGCTTTTGATAATAATTGTGCATTTCTAAATTGTGTTTGTTTAAAGCGCCCCTTGCTTAACGAAAACAGTAACTATTATGACCGCTAAAAATACATTTCATGGGTGTGTTTCATTCTCTTTCAGAGATTTACATTTCAGCACTGCTCTTCAATCGCACTTACTTTTCTTCTACTGCGATGAAAATGCCAGAAAGGGGCCCTTTATGTGCGAAATAAAAGCATTTTAAAAACAGTATGACAAGGCTCATCCAAGAGGTAATTACTCCAGCGTGTGTGCACTTGACAGATAGGAAGCGGTGCGTTTACCTCATGTGGTTAACAGGACACTCCATTCTCTACTCTCTCCAAAACCGCCACTTAATGTACGGTCTGGAGATGCGCTTTGTGATGGAAATAAATCTGGCTGTCTCCCCCGCATCAAAACCGAATCACTTCTCTCGATGAGCTCTTTGGTGGTTGCGCCGAGATTTATTGCACCGCAAGACGCGACGGCGTCCGCAGACCGTCCACCGCTCTCCAGCCATCGGTGCGGGCGCCGCGTGATGAGACCCCTGCTTCGGATTCGGGCTCGTGCCTAATTACGGACTAACGAGCTCTTAAGTGGCCGCATACATCATCGGCTTAGCGGGCGAGGCTGTCCGAGGAGAGGTTCACGCGGAATCTCGGCGCGACGCGAGGACCGCCCCAGCGTGGCCCTCCGACGGCGCGTCCCGGCGCGTTCGGTAAAACGAAAACCACGTCACGGCAGCAAAGCGTGGCGCTTCGTGGCACAAATCCCGGGAGCAGAGTGCGGGAGAGAGGAACGCGGTGGGGTGCGATGGGGCGCCATTGCGTTCTCTCCACAAACGATGCGTGCCCACATCGAGTTCGTCACCGCTTTAGCATGGACCTCCCTTAATGGTTTGCTACAATAAAACAAGACATTAATTTTATATACGACTAAACAAACAGCCGCTGCTTCAGCTAAAAACAATATGACTCGGGGCATTATAACAAGCCGAGGGCTTGTGTTTCGTGTCTTGCTTGGACGAAGTGAAACTCACGGTGTCGGCTGACGAGTCTCGCACAAGATAGCGTGCGGGGGGGGGGGGGCAATGAAAAGGTCACGCAATCCCTTTTAATAAACGTCTGCTTCATCACTTTAAATATTCTTACCGATGTGTAGCAATACATGGAATGACTTAAAGCTTTCGTGAGTGCATGAATTCATATTCTTTGGGTATAAAATGAACAAAAACTACGACGTTTCGATCACAACACAAACGATCGTCATCAGGAGGAAAGATGGGAGGGTGGAAGGGGGTGATGACGATCATCGCTTGTGTCGTGGTTTTTTTTTTACTAATTTGTACCTATTTACGTGACTTTACCGAAAGACCCAAAGAATATGTACGTGGAGATGTGTGTGCGCTGTGCCTCTAGAAGTTATTAGGACCAATGGCGTAGAATGATTGCCATGGGTCCTATAGAAATATTGCCCCGCAAGCCCCCATCCCATTTCCCCCCTCTTCATAGAGCGCTCCGGCGGCCTGTGGACCACAGTGCAGCTGCACCGCCTGTGCTCTCGATAGCCACGCCACTGCCCAGGAGCTGTTATTCTAAATAGGATCACGATGGCCATTGTTGCTCTCAGGCACAATGTACCACGCCAAATTAAGGAACAATGCTAAGACTGCGACCTCTTCACACCACAATGAGTCCTCATAAGCATTCTTATTTTCACGGGCAGGAAAAAAAAACGCTCCGTAAAAACCCTGACCTCCCGATCGCCCTGACCCACCGCAACCCTCGCCACAATCCACGGTGCGTTAGAGAAGCGCTTGTGGCCAATTCCCAGCAGGGAGGATGAGTGGGAGCGAGCGAGCGCGTGAGCGAGTGGGGAGGGCGGTGAGCGACAGAGCGGGCAGGCGAACGAACAAACGAACTGTGGGATCAACGGGGAGGGAGGGTGGTTTGGTGAGCGAGCGAGCGAGCAAGCAGGCGAGCAGGGCAGCAGGGGAGGAGCAGGGGAGCATGCTGGCTGGCTGGCGAGTGTCCCCTGAGAATTAATAACAAGTGGCTGATTATGACCGCGTGTCGGCTCTGGGTTTTTTCGTGCACGGTTTCCGTCACGCAGGAGTGAGCCGCGGTGCGAGCTGCCGCTCGGCTCCTAATGAGACGGCCGGCGGCCGCTCCGCACCACTGGGGGGGCCTCGCCGACATCCTCGGAAGCGCCGGACGCGCGAGCTCGGCAAGCGAGCGGCTGCCGATAAAAAATGTTTCATTTCATATTACCGATCAATCTATCTCGTGATGCGAATTATTAAACAGCCGATGACGACCTTCATAAGGAATGCATCAGATCGTCAGATCTGTAAGCTCGCCAGGGCTGAGCCTGCACCGTGCTTGGATGAGCAACCACGTACAATGGTGATTGTCACTTTCAATCTTGAAGTACCGCAGCCAATGAAACAATTTTACATTGTGGTCATCAGAGGGCGGTGTGGTAACATCGTGGTTGTACCGTATTTCTATGCTCTCTAACTTCACCAAACCATGGAGAGGCCCTCATTCAGCAGTAGATTGACAAAAATGGCTGAACATATGCAATGCATTTCACTAGGTGATAGCCAGTTGAATAGAATGTAACAGGGAGCCCTGGGAAGTAAAAAAAACTGCAATGCAACCAAAATTACTTAGCCAAGCTCATCCACACCCTGAGCCAGTGCTGTAAATTCCACATTGCTATGACAGGGTAGTAGCAGGGCACAGGACAGCCATCGTTGTGCAATGGTGCAGGACAAAAGCATTGAAAACCACGCGGCTGCATCATTATCTTCAAAAGCACCATCAGCCATGGTAAATCCACTGCTAGATGAAGGCCTGCTCGATCCTGCGTTGTAATCATTCACCTAGCACCTGTCCACTGCACAAGTATACATG